ATATATATATATATATAGTATTGGACAAATTAAATTAAAGTTTGACTGAACGATGGAGCTGGATGAAGAGTCAGAGGTGTTCATCCTGAGAGAAACATGAATGTCTGCGACATAGCAATCTATCCAACTGTCGAGACATTTCACCACAAATGTCAATTTCATGGTGGCACTGGAGGAAGACTGGAGATCACCAGTTGACTGCTGGGTCTCTTCCACTTGCTAAAATCCATTCACCCTGCTGTTGTCCCTAGACCAGCTGACATTCAGCATGTTTAGTACCTATCACAGAAAGCAGTACACTAGGCAAAGACCAGAAACTGAGGTCTGTGGTACCCCCTCAGCTGTGCCTCAGAAGCTGCCTGCCCAGAAGCAGATGTGCCCGAGCCTCCAGCTGCAGGACTTATCTTTGACACTTTTCATCCCAACAGCCCCATCCACAGTCATTTCTCCCCCAACTCTCTTCTGTTTTGTGTCCCGGCACTGCCCCTCTCTCTCCATCACCGCTGTGCTTGCTCCCACTCAGACCCAGACTACAACTGCGCTATCACCCATGCATAGTTGTAAATGTGGGCAGTTCAGAGCAGCATCCACAACACAATGGGGCATTTACTGTCTTGATTCAAGGACTTTCCTTGAGTCATTAGAATGAGGGGCTTCTGTATTGCTCAGTCATCTGTTTTGGACTGGGAGTATTAGAGGTAGTACAGTAACAGTAACAGCAGTACAGTTAGTCGTAGCAGTGCTAGTAGCTGTGGCAGCAGTGTAGTCACAATAAGAGCAGTGACAGCAGCAGGAATTGCAGGAGTGGTCGGACTGTGGCCAATTCTTTTTAAATGTCATTAACAAACAAATGTAATGTAATTTACAAATCTTCATTACTTCTTTAAACCATCTTAAATAATAAAATGTGGATTGTTGATTTAAAATACCCCTGTGTCTTTGTGATATAGTGTTTTTGTTTGTTTTTTCCTGTAATTTCCTAGAAGTTACCTGATATATATAGATATATAACTGTAAATTCTTAGGAAGGTATTTGGAAAAGATTATGCAATTTGATGTGATACACTTTCAGTTAATTCATTGCAGTTCAATGCATTGTGTTACCTGGAGTGTTTTAGTCAACTGAACATGCAAAAATGTTATCTACAGCAAGCCGGTCCTGACCTCCCTGGGGCCCTAAGAAACATTCTGCTAGGGGACCCTTGTAGCTGACCAATGAGCCCTGTAAACGAATTGCTCCACAGTCACACAGTGCTCAGCTACAATTCTTCGCTCGTTTGCTCATCCACTTTCAGTTTAAGAATGTAGTAGAGATGATACAACAACATATTCTATCTTAATAGAAGTTGATATGAATATACGAATGTAGAAAATATACATTGCTGAAGAGATAAGTAGAAAGACTAGCAACTGAGATTTGGTATTGCTGCCTGGCATTAGTCAGTTCTAACTGGACATT